GGCATGCCTTGTAGCTCAACATGTAACCCACAGCAGGAAAGTCCAAATTCAGATCATCAATGTGTGAAGCTGTCTAGGTGCAAAGCTATCAGGAATGGTAGAATCTGTGATAAATGGAGGGGCACACTTTCCTCCCCTGCCCCCCCAAACCCTATTTCATCTTATGATTTTTGTTGTTGAGCCAATAATTCAAGTCTGTTTGCAGACCTTCTGTGCATATGCTTTGCTACTAAATTCAGGTCCAACTGACTTCTCCATCTTAGAGAGATTCATCTCCACCCCTACCCCATCAAACAGAGTCATGTCTGCATAACAAACAGAATCTTCTACAGCCTATTTTCTCAAAAGTATGATAGAACTGGCCTCAAAGATTACATGCATGTCTGCTGTGGAAGTCAGGATTATTTAAGGGAGCGCTTAACCAGCTCCCCTGAGGTATTCTCTCAGACGTGACCCAGGAAACCCACCAGTGGGAGAGCAGTAGAGTTGATTGAGTCTTAGAATCTTCTAGGAGTGTGCCTGGAATTCCAGAGCTGCCCCCTACGGCCACAGTTGGAAATGCAGTGGGAGAGGGAGCAACTGCTCAGTCAGAACAGGTCCTCATCACACACTGAGATCCTAAATAAGCTCCTTGAAGACCTTTTGCTGAAGATAAGACACACATAAGAAAACTCCATCCCATCTCCTCTGGAGAGGATTTGGATGCCATGTCCTGTCTCAGCTTTGTTCAAAATATATCCTCTCAGAGCTTTTCTCCACTGGCATGCAGCAAAGCATGTCTACCGCAACCACTGCCACCCTCACTCCATTCCAGTAAACATAATAATGTCAAGAATTTATTGAAATAAAAGCAAATCACTGTTAGGCGCCTTCTAGTCAAGCATGACTCGTAGAGATGCTACAGGACAGAGGAGAACGCCCCATAGTATTTCTGAGGCTGTCATGTTTACAAGCAGAGGAACTGTGTGGCATAGTGGTTAGGGACTAGCCCCCTCCTAGCAGTTCCCCTAGAGAAAAGATCTGGCAATCTACTCTCATAAAAATGACAACTTAGAAAAACTTATGGGACAGGTCTACCCTGTCCTATATGGCTACTATGAGTTGGAATTGGCTCAAAAGTACACAGCAAAACAACAATAATATTTGAAGAAGCAAATCATCCATTCTTTTCTCCCATAGAGCTACGGAGTGAGTTCAAACTACCAGTGTTTCCATTAGCATCACGAGATGAACTCTTCTGCCGCCAGGGTTTCTTAAAGTCATATTTATCCTGATTAGTAGCTGACTATTAAATTGTCTGGAAGTGGAAAGGAGTCAATCTGGGGGTTAGATATGCTCTTCAAGTACCAAATAGAATTAACCAGAAAATAATAAATTTGTACATAGTAAAGTTGCAGAACAACAACAAAAATCTATGGTCTTAGAGGAGGTACACTGGTACAGATAGGAACTGAAAATACAGGGAATCCAGGACGGATGAGCCCTATAGGACCAGTGGTGTGAGTGGCAAAACAGGGAGGGTAAAGGGAGAATGGGTAGGGAAGAGGGAACCGATTACATGGAACTGTGTGTGACCTCCTCCCTGGGGGACAGACAACCGAAAAGTGGATGAAGGGAGACGTCGGACAGGGCAAGATATGACAAAATACCCATTTATAAACTATCAAGGGCTCATGCAGGAGGGGGGAGCGGGGAAGGAGGGGAAAAATGAGGACCTAATGTCGGGGGTTTAAATGGAGAGAAAATGTCTTGAGAAACGATGTACAAATGCGCTTTACACAATTGATGTGTGTATGGATTGGAATAACAGTTGTATGAGCCCCTAATAAATTGTTTAAAAAAAAATCTATGGTCTTTGCTATAATCCTTTTAAAGACAAACAAATCCAACAACATAGGTTAAGGTTATAAATGCTTTATTATACTAAGTCAGAATGATGTATATTCTGCAAGTAAACAGAAGCATTTTTACAATTGTCTGCCTTCTTTAACCACTAGGGATTTCATACATTTGCAAGTAGACTCTGTGTTCCTTCCTTTACTTTAATTTAGCGATTCTCAAGTTTTGGTGTACACAGGAATCACTTGTATGGGGTTGGAACCCACCGCCCCCCGCCCAAATTATAGATATATGACAAAAATTTTTTAACTATAAAGACTTTTACCTTCTGATGAGTTAGACATGACAACCTCCACTTCTCCTTCTCTTAAACACACACACACACACACACACACACACACACACACACACACACACACACGAAGCCGGCTACAATGAACTCTCTTGCATTTGCTTTCTATGTTTTACACTTTCTCTTTGTTTCCAACACATAATCAGGCCTAGTATTCCTTTCTGAAGCCTGTTGAAGGCACATGAATAGGTATCCAAACAAGGCCAGAGAAGAGAAGAATTAAAATTTTTGTTAAGACTGAAGAGAGAGAAAGATAGATGCTTCACTAGACTGGGACACAGTGATTGGCCGATGGCTCCTGTGAACAGTGGAGCTGTGGGTATTGCTCTGGGTAACAATACTCCTCAGAGGGGAAAATTCTATGTGACTTGAGGTAGGCTGGATCTCAGCAGTTCAATTCCCATCTCCTCCGAGATTCCTGCCCAAATGTGGCCTGGAAGCAGCAAAAGAAGGCCTGAAAGGGCTATGGGAGTTGGGGACTCAGTGCTAACTAGTTTAGGGAGAGCGCTACTATTGGAAAGGTCTTCCCAATGCCTCAGAACTGCATATAACTCTTCATTCTCTAAAAACCCATATTTTTCCAGAAATCTGATCAATGGGGATAGGGGTGGGATTGGGGTGACCAAGGAAGGACTGTAATCAATTTCCTGCCAGCTTGATAGGCTATCTCCCTGGAATCCAACTTTAATTTGAATGGAAATTTAAGGAAATTTAGACAAATGAGTATGTTTGAACACATAAGTTGATGAAATGAGATTTGCAACATTTTTGAATATTGGCTGAGTGCCTTGCTGATGGGAAGGGTTCCCGGACAGACACCAGGAGCCAGCTCTGCCAGATTAGGGTGGACATGATCCTTGAGGATGAGTGGAGACGGAGGAGAAGCTGTGAAACCACGGACTCGTTCAATTTCCCTGTGTTTCTCAGGCCCTGATCTGGAACATTCAGCTAGTGCCCTGCCAATACCTTTGTGTAAAAACAAAGAAAGGAAGGAAATAAAATGCACATATTTAAAAAAACAAAGCCAAACAAAGCACCAACAAACAGCTTCACTTTAGCAAATCATTTTATTAGGCTCAAGATGAGTCCCTGCCTGCAAAGCTCTCAATTGCCAGCAACTGTGGGCAGGGCAGCCGCCTACTTCCCATCCGAGTCAAGCTGCTCAGGGCTCTACTTGAATGGCTAATTACTGGTCACCTCACCATCTTGTCAACGCCCAAAGATTATACTTAATGCACAACTTAAGCCGTCCCCTGGACCTCACTTGTTTGGGCTGGCAATCACGTTTTCTGTTCCCTTCCCTACTTGCCTAAAGTTTTAGTAATTGCCCTCTACACTCAAAAGAGAATCCCACTAGGCCATTGAAATGTTGAAAAGCCCCCTGACATGGTGAAATGTTTATCTGCACTCTAAGAGAAAGAACTGGGACAAATATGTGCGGCTTTGGTACATGACAGGATGCAGATTTCTTGTGTGCAATTTCTTAACTTTCAGCTTCATAATAACTATAATCAACTCAGTGCTTTGAGGGTTGTTTAGACGTGTTGTTAGGCAGTAACTAGAAACTAACGGTGGCAAATGGCTCATAACAGTGATCTTTTGCACAATGTAGACATAAGGCCTCATGATGCCTCATGTTCCTTTGCAAAATACAGGAAATCCAGTTTCAATGTCTCCTTCTAGGAACAAAAAAATGCCCGTTCTCTCCTCCTTCCTCAATCCTTTCTGTGTGAGACGTCCAGCAGATGAATTTACTCTGGCCTGTATGGATCTTTCAAGGTTGCATCATGCTTGTCTGCTACCAATAGGTCTCTTTCCACCAGGTTGTTATTGGTAGGGGCCTTCAAGGCAGTTCTGATTCATAGCAACCGTGTGTCTCAGTCAGAACAGGTCCTCATCACACACTGAGATCCTAAATAAGCTCCTTGAAGACCTTTTGCTGAAGATAAGACACACATAAGAAAACTCCATCCCATCTCCTCTGGAGAGGATTTGGATGCCATGTCCTGTCTCAGCTTTGTTCAAAATATATCCTCTCAGAGCTTTTCTCCACTGGCATGCAGCAAAGCATGTCTACCGCAACCACTGCCACCCTCACTCCATTCCAGTAAACATAATAATGTCAAGAATTTATTGAAATAAAAGCAAATCACTGTTAGGCGCCTTCTAGTCAAGCATGACTCGTAGAGATGCTACAGGACAGAGGAGAACGCCCCATAGTATTTCTGAGGCTGTCATGTTTACAAGCAGAGGAACTGTGTGGCATAGTGGTTAGGGACTAGCCCCCTCCTAGCAGTTCCCCTAGAGAAAAGATCTGGCAATCTACTCTCATAAAAATGACAACTTAGAAAAACTTATGGGACAGGTCTACCCTGTCCTATATGG